ATTTGCTTGGGTGGAAAATTTGGAGAAGCACTCATGTAAATGCAAGTCCTGGGCCATCTGGGCCTTTTCTACTCTCCCAGCTATATGTGGTGAAAAGGAATTTCTTAACTCTGTAAACCAGTGTGGGAGAGTTGGCGCTCTGCTCTGTTTGTGCAGCTGCTCCCTGGCTCCCACTCTGCTCTCTTTCATGGCCCAGAAGTATCCGCGGATGTTCTGGGGAGGGGTTTCTGGAGGCTGGAGGAGGTGAGAACTGGGCTGGGCAGGTGGTTGTCCTTCGGTGCCTGTGGCCGTTGGTGGTCTTTTCAAAGGAAATGTATATTAATTTAAACATTTTTATTATTCCTTGAATTTCCATACTTCAAAATTTAAAACTTATATAAGAGGGTTCAAAATGGAACAACTCGCTCCGCTTCTTTCCATAGCCCCAGTTCCCTTCCTCACAGCCAGCCAGCGTGACCAGTTTCTTGTGTATCCAAGTAAATGCGTATTTATCCCCATCACCTTCTTTTTATACAAACAGAAGCACGCCACGTGTACTGCTACTCTGTTCCTTGCATTTTCCTCACTTAATCTTGTTCCTTTTTTCCCCCAGCTGCATGGGATATCATTGAACTGATGTAACTTATATAACAAGTGCTTGACTAATGGACATTTGGTGTTTTTCAGTCCTTTGTTATTTAGTACTGCAATGATAATCATGCTTATTTGCGCACATGCGGCATCAGGGCTAGAAGAGTATTTGCTGGGTCGAAGGGAAGGTACGTTACAGTCCTGATTGATTCTACCCTGTGGCCCTCCAGGAGCTCTTACCAGTTTCTAGCCCTGCCAACGGGGGATGAGAGAGCTTGTTTCCTTACACCACTTACGCTGTTACCCGGCCTTTTGACCTTGGCTGCCTGATAGGTGAAGAAATTATCTCGGGGAGATTTTAAAGGATGGTCCAGTCTTGAAAAACAAGAGAACAGAGCACATTTGCTGCATTGTGGCGATGACCTAGCACGGTGTTCCCAGCCTTTCGGAGTGGAATTCGGAGTTGATTTTTGTTAACTCTTTCTGACTGCTTGTATGAGCAAAGAACAGTCAAGGTAGTAAAAGGCAAATCCATGTGATCTTTCTACAAGTAGATACTCTGTAGGGGGTATGATGTGGCTAAATGAGTTGTTAGAAACTGTGCACTCTTTGGTTCTATTTGATGGAACTTCCTCCCTAAGACTGTGTGACATACAAGACTTAAGATCAGAGAATCACAGAAACGAAGTACTAGCAGCTTAAGTGAGGTCAGCAGTGTTTGTCCCCAGCGATCTATCAGAGAGGCTCTTTACCAGCTCTGGTCCAGGGGGAGTGCTGCTGCCCTTGCCACAGCCATGAGATACAAACCTAAGCACTTGGAAGAGATGGAGCACAGATCATGGTTGAGTGTTGGAAGGGCTTTTGGAGTTCTCGAGAAGCCACAGAGAAGAACTTGCATGCAGGACTTGCCTTGAACAAAGGGATGTGATTTTTACTCTTTTAGATTCCAGCACTGCTACAGGCAAATTAGATATGGTTTCGGGAAAAGCAACTTTATCCTGTGGGTTTTATCTAAAATAATGTACTGGGGGGGGAGTGTTTTAGGTAGGGGGTGGTAGAGGGCAGGAACTGGGGAGAGGCTCTAGAAAGGTTGGCCAATGGAGGCTTAAGTTAAATTTATTTGTAAGCATCATGTGGTCTACCATACTATGAAGACAGAGAAGAACTATCATTTTACACATAGTCAGATCAGGACTAAGTATCTAGGGGAACGTCCAAGTTCCCCTAGAGTCACACTTAGCCTGTGAAACTGAGAGCTAGGATCAGAGCAGACCCCTGCCGGCCAGAAGCTGAGGGATAACCTGCAGGTCCACCCTCCTGGCCCAGATGGACTCAGGCTGTGCCCCGCAACTTTCGAACAGAGGAAATGCCAGATTCTAAACATCAAAACACAGCGCAGGGTCCTTTATCTAGCATGTCAGGGTGCCAGGTTGGCCCAAGTCCAGCTTAAGCCAGATCTGGTTTTCAGAATCTTGTACTTCCTGAGATTTCTGGGTGGAGGAAGGATCACTGCCTGCACTTGGGAGAGTTCTTCACTTTACTAGAAGATCTAGGCAGATGTCTTTAGTCTCTTCCTCTCATTAGTGCCTTGGCAGAGCTCAGATCTTCAGCCCCTCCGTCTGACTCAGGCTCCAGGCTTCCTTGGTCTCCCCCCTCCCCCCCTTTTTTTAGACCAGCTGTGTTGAGATACATAACATAGAATTCAACTAAAATGCAAAAGCATTGGATTTTAGTGTTTCCAGAGTTCTGGAACTATCACTACAGTTAACTTTAGAACATTTTCATCACCCCAAAAAGAAACCCTGTGCCCTTTCGCCATCATCTCCCAGTCTTCCCATTCCCCTCAGCCCCACGCAGCCACCAAACTACTTTCCATCTCTATATATTTGCCTATTCCAGATATTTTATATAAATGTCAATACGTGGCCTTCTATGAATGACTTTTTTCACTTAGCGTGTTTTCAGGCTTCATCCCCGCTGTAGCAGGTATCAGTATTTCATTCCTTTTTAGAGCCAAATAATATTCCATCATACAGACAGACAGGCCATGTTTTGTTTAGCCATTTACCAGCTGATGAGCATTTGGGTTGTTGCTGCTTTTTGGCTACCATGAATAACGCTCCTGTGGGATTTTGTTTTTGCAAGATTTTGTGTGGCCATAAGTTTTCATTTCTCCAATTAGGACTGGAATTGCTGGATCTTATGATGACTCTGTTTCACATTTTGAGGAACTGTCAAGCTGTTTTCCAAAGTGGCTGCACCATTTTGCATTCTCACCGGCAATGTATGAGGGTTCTGATTTCTCTCTACCCTCCCCAACCTGTGCTGTTACCTGTCTTTTGGGTATAGCCATCCTAGTGGGTGTGAAGTGGCTCATTATGACTTTGATTTACATTTTTCTAATAAGTAGTGATGTTGAATGTCTTCTCAGGTGCTTATTGGACTTTTCTGTGTCTTCTTTGAAAGATGTCTATTCGGATCCTTTGCCCATTTAAAAAATTGAATTATCTTTTTAATATTGAGTTGAAGAATTCTTTGTAGAGTCTAGATATGGGTCCTTCATCAGATACGTGATGTGTAAATATATTCTCTCATTCTGTGGGTTGTCTTTTCACCTTCTCGTTGGTATCAATAGCGGCACAAAAGGCTTTAATTTGGATGAAATCTAATTTATCTTTTTTCCTTTTGTCACTTGCGCTTTTGATGTTGTATCTAAGGAGCCTTGCCGAACCCAAGCTCATGCTATTTACTCCTGTGTTTTCTTTTAGGAGAGTTTTGTAGTTTTAGATCTTGTTTGAGTCTATGGTCCATGTTGAGTTAGTTTTTACGTGTGGGTGTGGTGTAAGGAAGGGGTCTGATTCCGTTCCTTTGCCTGTGGACGTCCAGTTATCCCGGCACCATTTGTTGAAGACTCTTCTTTCCCCATTGCATTGTCTTGGCTCCTTTGTTGAAAATCTGCTGATATTGTAAATGTTGGGTTTATTTTTAGACTCTCAGTCCTGTCCAGCTGAACTACGTGTGTCCGTACACCAGCACCACAATGTCTAGACAACTGTAGCTTTGTAATCTCTTATCTCTTAATGAGGGAGTTAGGAAAGGGTTGGCAATCTGGACTTTCCTCTTTCTTTCATTGGTAAGATCAGTTACTGAATTTTTTAGATTCCTCCTCAGGCTTTCAGCCACACTTTATTTCTCCTCATTCATCTTGCTGGTTCCAGTGGGAAATGATATCCAAGGAGTTCTGAGAAATCCCAGCTGTTGGGCACCTTAGTGTTCTCGTAGCAGTGCCAGTTAACCATGTTCTGACTCAGTAGCTTGATTCTGAGGAGTTTTCCCAGATGCATAGAATTAAACATTTGGGTTGTGAAAGATGCTCTGGTTTATGAAACTCTGTAATTGGTGAAGTTCAAGATATATAACTTACTGTACTGTTAAAAGATTTAAAGCTCTTTATGAAAGGCTATGCAAGGAAGCAATTCCAGTGGATAGCTTTCCCCCGTGGGCCATGACGTAGCCTTCGAAGCCAAATCGTGCCCTCCCTGGGCCTCTCTTACCTCCCAGGCACCTGCCCTGCTGTTTCGTGAGCGTTGGGTTTATTGGTATTGGCATTTTTGCAGTAAGGGGAAAATGGAAGACGAGGGGTCTGCCGGGAAAGGTGGGACTCTGGACCGCCTCACTTGTTGTTACTCTAAGTTGCAGAGCCAAAAGATAAAAACACCTGTGTGACATCTGGAATTAACAGTAATCATCCTGTAATTTTTGCCATTTCTTTCCTTTGCAGGTAATAGTACCTAGAGCTGGCACTATGAACTGTGTCATAATTTAAGCAAATTTTAACTTCTGTTTTGTATTGGACATTTAAAAAATCTCTAAGCAGAAATTGCCCTTCATCAGGAGCTTCTCCCAATGTGGGGAGGGGTCAGGGAAGTGAACTCACCAGAAGGCAGTGGTTTACCAGAACAGATTCCGGATTGGGTCTGCCTGAGTGCATTTCCTCCTAGTGAACGTGGACAAGTTCCTCAGTCTACCCAAGGCCCAGTTACTTCGTCTTTAAAATGGTGATAAGAATAGTACCCACCTCCAAGAGTTATTAAAAGGTTGACATTTCATGTCACGGACTTAACATAGGCAAAGGAGGACAAGCTTTTTGTGTAGAGCGCCAGACAGTAAATGTTTCAGCCTTTGGCCACAAGTCCTGACACTGCTGATGCAGCACAAAAGTGGTCATAGACAGTGTGCCTGCGTCCCAGTAAGACTTTATTTTAATAACGGTGGCGGGCCGGGCTGGGCCTGCAGGCCGTGGTGTGCCGATCCCTGGCTTAGCACGGGGCCCAGCACGGAGTGGTTTGAGTAAACGTCAGCCATCCTTGAAGCTAGGGGCTGCACTTTATCCCTGGTTCCCACACTCACCTGCTCCGTGTCTTGAACAGAACGTCGAGGTCCTGGCCAGCCGGAGCAGCAGCGCAGAGCAGACCCCGGTGGGGGTGGAAGTGCGCGTGAAGGCTCTGCAGGAGGAGAGTGAGAAGCTGCGGGCCTGTGTCGGAGAGCTGGAGCGGACAGTCGCGCGGCTGCACAGGCAGATTGCTGACATGAAGGGCGATGAAGCCAAAGTGAAGGAAAAGCTCAAGAAGTTCGAGGTGAGGCTCCCTGGGCTTTAAGTCCAGGCCTGGCACCCGGGGAGCCTTCCTTCCTGTGTACTCGGCTTGAGAAGCAGAAAGGGATTTGTTATCATAATTGAGTAGGAAAGGTCAAGGCCATCGTGAACATCTCTTTGCAGGCCATTTCTTTTGTTCCTCTCCGGGTGGTGCAAATGGGAGATGGGCTTCGAGAGAGGCCTGGGGAGGCGGCTGATGGGGTCGGGGTGGGAAGCCCAGGTAGAGGCCCGGGAATCCCTGTTTGCCCAGACATCAGACGTGCTCAACCTTTTGACACTGAACAGAGGCCTCCCAGACTCCCAAAGATGCCATCTGAACACTGCCCTCAGGCCCATTCTCACTCATGACTGTTGATTCTTTCCATAACATTTGGTTGTCAGCTTTTGAAGTCACACAAGTTTTAACACACCGATTATCTGGTTTGCCAGATCGCTGGAAGTAGAAGGCAGTTAGCAAGAGACACGCACCAATGGTGGTGAGAAATGGCAGCTGACAATGAAAGGGGACAAAAGAAATGTAGAGGGAGGTGTATTCCAACAGAAAGTCCCCAGATGGTCATGCGTCAGCATCACCTGGAATCCTTTTCTTAAACTGTGTGCTTGAGTTCTTTTGATACCTGTTGTTTCTGAAGCTCTAGCACTGAGGCTGGATATTTCTATTTTCAAAAAAGTCATCCCAGGTGACTGATTCAGGTGTGTGCATCTGGCTAAGTACGGGACTGCAGACAGGCCCACACATCTGAGAACACGGCTGCCGTGTGCCATCCTGGGCCCCTGACGGGCACGTCGTCACCAGTCACCTGGCTGTGTCTGTGGCTGTCTCCTGCATGCCTCTTACGCCACCAAGTCAGCTTCATGGGCACAGCACACATCTGGGGGTGCACTGACCCCGTGTGTCATTGTAGGGAGAAACTCGGCAATTAGAGGAGGCCCTTGTGCACGCGAGGAAGGAAGAAAAAGAAGCCACGTCAGCCAGAAGGACCCTGGAGAGTGAGCTGGAAGATGCTCAGGTAAACATGGAGGGCTGTAGGCTTCATCCCCCACAGAGGAAGCCAGAGCTGCATGTGCAGGCTGCATGGGTCCTCTGCTTCTAGGTAGCCCCTTTTGTAGTGATAACCATCCTGGACTCATGCTGTCCATTTAGACCTGTGGTTCTTATCTGGGTGGCATAGCAATGTCTGGAGACATCTTTGTGGTCACAGGTTGGGGGATATTTCTGGCCTGTACTGGGCAGAGCCCAGGGATGTGTTTCCACATCCTTCCTGTTCAGCACAGGACAGCTCCCACAGCGCCAAATTCCCCGCATGTCCAGAGCGCCAAGGTAGAGGAGTCCTGCTCTCGACGTTAAAGAGCCTGACAGCTTTCAAAAAATAAAATGTGAGTTGTGTGAAGAGGCCACCAGCTCTGTGGCCGAAGCCTATTTCCTTTCTCCTCTGGGCAAACAGACTCATCAGAGTACAATCCTTCAAGATGGCTATTGAAGGAGCAGGAAGAAGTCGTTTCCTTGAAGTTAGATAGCTATCTGAACTCAAAATCAGTAGATTCTTAGAAAATTAGATTTCCCCATTTGAAGGTTAGAAAGATTGTTTGAAGTACATTCTTAAAGAAAAGAGAAAGGTCTGCACTGAGGTTCTAAGCTGACTTTGCACAGTGACCTCTGCCTGATTCAGATGTGTCCTTCCTTCTACCTGCTCTCGGGTTTTAAAGAGCCAGCTGCACCAGGCATCCCTCAGGCAAGTTTCTCAGGAGGTAAAAGGCAGTGTTTTTAAGCAGTGGTCTTAGAGGAGGCTGTTAAACTTTTCCATCAGGACTTGCTTGCCCGGCAAGGTCTGGGGAGGGGGGGTGGCACATGAAAAGTGTCAGGTGCTGAGTCAGGATTCAGATTTATAAATACCTAACTGCAGCTTGCCTTCCACACACAGCCTCATCTCCTCGGGGCTAGAGGAGGGGAACCTGCTGGTACAAGGGTTCACTCTGGTCAGCTGAGGCTCCACAGCTCTCGCCCCCAAGTCCCCGCTCTGCACCTTCTCTCTGGCTGCGACAGGGACCGTGTTTTTACACGTAGTAAAGCTTGTTTTTTCCAAATGTTGGTGTTTGACTGTTCTCTTTTTGGATTTTCCTTCCTTCTTTCCTTCTTTCCTTCCTTCCTTCCTTTCTCTCTTTTCTCTCTCCCTCCTTCCCTCCCTTTCTCCCTTCCTTCCTTCCCTTTTTTCTCTCCTTTTCCTTCCCTTTTCCTTTGTTACAAACCCTTGTTTGGCTGCTTTTCTGTGAATGGCAGTGTCACTGTGCTGCTGTTTCAGGCTTGTGATGGCTACAACCCAGCAACCAAAGTTTCAGGGTTTAAATCTCTGAACTAGCTGGGGACAGAAAGAGAGGAAAACATTTGTACTCTACAAAAGATCTGCACCTTTGTCATCACGTCCACACCAGGCACTGGGTACAGCCATTATGGTTCCGTCTGTATCACCCGTTGGTCAAGCCAGAAAGTTTCACACAGAAGGAAGTGGTTCACCAGCTGTGAATCTGCAGCTCAGAGGGAATTCAGTGGGGAGAACAGATCATGGCCTCAAGGCCTAAAGATCTGAATGTAATCCCCACCCACCCCCACCGTCCTTGCCTTGGAAGCGATCCCTGACGTGTTACTTTTGTGCAGGCCTGTTTCCCCAGCGGTGCTGAGATGGCAAGAATGTTTCGTGCAGCCTGTGGCTGTGCTAACCGGTGGTGGCAGCATAATCCAGCAAGAAGTTTAAAAGGGCCCAACAGCCTCAGCATCTTTATCTGAATTATCTGGTCTCTAAAGTAGTGATATGAAAAGTGCACCAGCACTCAAAAATCCTTTGCCTTCTCTCAGATTGGGAACCGGGCTCCTTTAGTTCGCTGACTCTTTCTGCCTACCTCTCCCAGAGCTGGCAGCCGGAAGGGTGCTTACCCCCTAGAGCAAGAGGAGAGAAGAACTTTTTCTCTTGAGCATTTTATGTTTTGGAATCTTCGTGCCTTTAACAATCTGTTGCATCTTCTTGTGTAAATATGTCTTTACGTAGTAGCTGAAGACCACGTGAACTTAGGTCTAATTTATCGCGGCTCTGTCAGAAAGTGGCAAAGGTTCTTACAGGGGATGCTGTTCTTGGTTTGCCTCAGCCCTGCCACTGGGTTTAGGATTGTGCTGCTGTGTAAATCTACTTGAGCTGCATTCAAGGCAGAACCGCCTCTGCTTCCCTTGAGAAATTACTTCTGCAGGTGGGAAAGCCGTAGTTCTTTCCTTCAGGGAGGGCTAGCGGTGTGTGGTGTGTATGCCTTCACCTCCCGTCCTCTTGGACTTCTGTGTATTGAGACCACAGAATAAGAAAGCACCACTGCTTTTGCTGTCCATGGTTGAGGTGTGACAAGGGCTTCCTTCTGATCAAGTTTGTCATTCCTTTAAGCCCGTAGGCTCACCTGCCACTTGGTTATTGTTAATACGGACGAGTCTGGGCCTTGCTCAGCCATGTAGTAAAAGACTCTGCATCCATTGACAGTTAGTGGTCCCCAAGCCCAAGGGTACTCACTGTCCACCCGCCAACCTTGCGTTTTGAGTTCTCTGACCTGATACATTTTCTTTAAAGTTTTGTCCCAAATCAGTGCTGCTGTTGGTGGAGACCATTTCACTCCTGACTCCTCAAAGCAAAGTTACCAAGTTTGCTGCTTTTCTTTTTGTGTGAATTTGAGACATTTTCTCAGCAGTGACATATTGGAACATATTTCTTGAATAAGTGAAGAGGCAGAACATTGTTCTAAATGGCATTTCTAAACTTGATCATCTGTTAGAATTATCTGGGTAACTTTCAGATGCAAATTCATGGGTCCCACTCTAAGAAGAATTGTGATTCCATCAGAAACGGGTAGATTCTGCATTTTACATAAGGAGTCCACCACCCTTTTTTGGTGATTCTGATATATGAAGTCTTCAGACCACTTTTGGGGGTAGGTATTAATTTTCAATCACTGAGTTTTTACCGTATACCTAATAGTGAATTTGGGCTATGAGACACACCCAGATAGAAAATCTATTTCTATCCTTTACAGATCTTACCACTCTGCAGTAGAGACAAGCATACAAGAAATACTTTTAAAATCATTTAGCAAAACTATTCTAGGCAAATGTGTGTGTGTTAAGGTTACGGGAAGGTGTTGGCCAGGCCCCAGGCTCTGAGGGGTTGAGCCTGGGGTATCTCCAGGGGCACCGCAGAGCCAGGTCAGGCGGGGAGCCCTCCCTGAGCCAGGGTGAGGCAGAAATGCACTCACCATATGAAGGTGGGATGGAGCCCCTGGGGCTGGGATCCAGAAGGAAGAATGAGGGAAGCTGCTGGGATCTGCAGGGGAGGGGTTGAGTTGGATCCTGATGGTTCTACAGGAAGGCATCAATGGCCCTCCATATCTTTTGTTTTTCAGGAATTGATATTTTGAGATACCTGTTCCTGAGAGTTTTCTCCCACACGACAGAACCATGCCTCACTTACCTTACGCCATCTGTGTGCCGCCCCCTGTCCCCAGCACCACTAAATCAACCGCAAACACAAGTCCCAGGGGCTGACCCTTTCTCTGGTGTGTGCCCAGCTGGAGGTGGTGGGATGCACTCCCGCTAATTGCCCCACACTGAACTCCTGATTACCTTTCTTTTACCACCTTCTTTTCCAACTGCTTTTGTTGATCTTGGTCCCTGCGGCAATTAACTTCAGCAACCCGGCTGTGTTGGCTGTTCCTCTGAGCGCAGCCCTCCACGGGTAGCTTTTCTGGCCCCAGGTCATGTGGTTGGCCAGCTTTGCAGAACTAGGAGTGCCTGAAGTTGATTTGTGAATGTTTTTAAGATGCCTGAGTTACTGCACGTGACAGCATCTCGTAAACTGTTGAGCACTGTGCAAATGTAAACCACTGCCTTTTTTACAGGCTTTGTAGGGACACGAGACTGAGTGAGTGGATCCTAAGTGGTACCTGTGCTTAATGCACGTTCAGCCCGCAGTAACTAACATTTTTTCAGATGATCGAGCTCATGTTTGGGTCATTCTGAGCTGTGCCCCCTCCTTGATATCCTTACGCGAAAGGTCTTAATGCCTAGCCACTTAAAGACGCCACCGTAATCTTCCTAAGATATTTTAGGTTGGTTGGTTTTAGCATTGCATGTTTTTTACATAAAGGACATCGGTCTGTGTGATGCTGTGAGATGAGAGCCCCAGAGGAGCCCAGGGGAAACACTGTACCCAAGATGGTGCATTTCATGATAAGTGCTAGTATTTGGTGCTGATTCACTGAATAACTACCCACATGCACTTTTTCTGACTAATGTCTCTTCCATTTAGTACCTTCTGTCCATCAGGTTCATTATCCTGTGCACTACCAAGTTCCTTTTCTTCTGTATATGAGTCCAACCCATGGATTCTGTTGATTATAACTCCCTCTACCCAAGTGGATTCTTGGCCTATGGGACAATGTACTCTTTTCTTACAGATTCATTTTTAGCTGTTGTAACTAAGAGTCACGTACATAGTAGAGAAAAGTCTAGAACATCAGGTGCAATGCTGCGTACTGCAAGATGTCATTTGCCATTTAGGTTTCCTAGTCTAATGTATAACTTTACCTTGGTTTTCAGGCGTGAACTCTGTCAGATTTTTGGACACTATCCTGAATCACCACCTCCAGCAGCTTGGGCCATTTTCCGTATTTCTGTAATGCATCTTTTGTCTGCCCCTTCATTCCTGTGTGTATTTTTGCTAAAGTCAACTTTGCATTTTGGTCCCTGAGTTTCAGAACCAACAGTGTCCTTGTGTCTCTGTGATGGCTTAATTTTGATCCTTTTCCTTATCACAGATGTAACAGGGCTGGTTGCTTTGTGGTGTGGCTGTGATGCTGCCTCTGCCACCTGTTCATGTGGCTGACCTGGTAGGTAGGTGACAGAGCGGTCCTTCTTCTGCCGTCTGCAGAGAAATCTGAGTCGGGCCATCCAGGAGCAGAAGCAGTTGTCTGAGAAGCTAAAAGATGAGACCGAGCAGAAGGAGCAATTAAGGAGACTGAAGAACGAAATGGAGACAGAGCGATGGCACCTTGACAAGACCATTGAGAAACTGCAGAAGGAGGTGAGGGGGCAGGAGGAGGGAGAGGCTGTGGGGCCCAGCCACCCGCCGCCGCATCCCCCCCGAGCCTGGCAGAGCTGAGGAGACCTGCAGTGTGTCTCAGCACAGTGTCAGGGATTTGCAGATCCCCTGAAGCAGCTCTTCAGACTTGTTGATAATCCCAGTTACAGGGAAACTGGTCTAGAAAATGCCTGTACCCCCTGGATCCTGGGACCAGGTCCTCTCTTCAGGTACTCAAGGAAGCCTGTCATGTCAGTGCAGACTTCACAGATATTTCCTGAACCAGAACCCCTGTCTTTGTGCATCATCTATGCATTTTTACCTCTTTCTTGTCCAAGAGTACAAAAGGCAGTTTTAAAGCTTGGTACTTGCTGGCCTTCTGCTCATCTCTGCACTAAAACACCCAGAAGGGGAGCCTGTCAGCTCCCTGCAGTCCAGAGCTGACTTGAGTACTTGCCGTTTTGTGACACCTGCTGTGTGCACTTTCCCAGCTATTCTGTATCTACTTAGAATTCTGTCTCTATCTGTGTATCGTTTTAATTCTCACTACAACCCTGCAAGGTTAAGATTACAGTTTCAGTATGTTTACCGAAGACACTGCAGAGGCCCAGAGAAGGGAGGTGATGCCCCCTTCATGAAGCTGGTAAGCGGCAGGGGAAGGATGCGACCCAGGACTAAAGATGTGCCCGTTCCCGCCTCTGCGCTGCCCCCGTGTGAGAGGTGGCTAATCCGGGACAGCCCGTGACCAGGTGCTTTGCAGGCTTTGAGGAGCCTCGAGAAGGAAGAGGAAATGTGTTCTGTGTTTAGAGGGGACCCAAACCTAGCTCCCTGGCCCCAGACGGAGCATCACAGGGTGGGCTCACACCCATGTCACCTCTTCCAGATGGCTGACATCGTCGAGGTGTCTCGCACATCAACGCTGGAGCTCCAGAACCAGCTGGATGAGTACAAGGAGAAAAATCGCAGGGAGCTTGCAGAAATGCAAAGGCAGCTGAAGGAGAAAACTCTGGAGGCGGAAAAGTCCCGTCTGACTGCCATGAAAATGCAGGATGAGGTAATGCCTGGCTGGGTTAGTTCCCGGGTTTACCCCGTGTCCAGAGTATCCTCCGAGGGACTGCTTTGAAACTCTGCTAGGAGAGACTTGCGGTGGATTCCTAAGACAGCGCTTGTGCTTGGTTCTCAGGGAGGTTCCATGGGGGCGCATGGCATTCTAAGACACCGACTTTTATATATGACTTTTAAGTTGACCATTTTCATGATTAGTCCAAGATTTTCTTCCAAAAAAGTTTTCCTGCCATTTGTGCAGCCTCAGTGGTGTGCCCGGCTGTGTCCAAATGATCTGTGTGTGTTAATGTTTTAATTTAATCCTAGAATGGGAATTACGGTAACCAACTTGGGTTTTTTTGCTGTTCATTTACCACAGACTTTCATTAGAGTAGGCGTGGCAGGTAAGAGTCTCAGCACAACAATAAAGGGGACAAAAAGCAATCTTCAGGAATTTATGAGTGCTGAAATTGCTAAAGCATACTCTTGGTTTTTATATTTAAGAACAATAGAGCAAAGTGACCCAAACGTTAGCTCCCCTTTAGTCTTGAGTTTTCAAGAACAGAGGAAAATAAAGGGAATGCTTTTGATTATTTTAATGGAAAGCTGACGGCTCCAAAATGCAAGTACGGTGTGTGCTGGTTTCCGGCTCTGCCTCTTGCCAGCCGGGTGACCTTGAACACGTTACCGCAGCTTTCTCAGCATCTGTTGGTACCTCTTTAAAAGAATACGAAATCATAATGATTTAACAATTGAATGAGATAGCATGTGAGACTGCATGGCAGAGGGTGTATGTATCCCGGACACTGATGTTAGGTTTCTTTCTTTCTTTTCTTTTTTTTTTTAATTTTAAGGCTGGCTTTTCTTTTTTTTCCTCATAAGCAGTGCCAAGAGCACTAAGATTCCACAGGAAAACAAGTTTTTCTTTAAAAAACAAACTTTTATTACCTTTGATGATCAAAGAAAAGTCACCCATGAGTCAGCGCTGAAACCCTGTGAAAAAACAATGGATATTTATTACAGGCTTCTAGAGCACTTCTGACAGGACCCTGAGAACAGATCCCCTCTGGCTCAGGGTCTTATGACACAGGACTCCAAGTAAGAGCCGAAATTAGCATCTGGACATCACAGTTCTCTTTGGCATTGAAAAATAATCATTTTCATTTCAACAGCAATTGGGCGGGGGGATTCAGATATTTGCCAGAACACCAGCAAACATCTGGTATGCTGTGTTGATTTCAGAAAATCTGTGTCACAGTGACCCCTGTATAGGGCTTCCCATCACGTTGTTGTATAATGTTATTCTGCTAGAATCCTGGGATTGGAGGGAACCTTAGAGATCCTCTAGTTAGATAAGGAAACAGATCCAGAGAGACTAGTTAAGGCCAGATGGAGACGCATGTTATTTATAAAAGGGCAGTGATTCACAAAACAAAGGATTCCTTACGATGAAAACAAATGTGGCTCTTCCTAGATTTCCTCAGTGGGATAGCCCTGTGAGACACGGTTTCCATCTGAGTGACAGACGCAGACACCTCATCACCCTGAAAGGGAATGGCAGTCAGATACCACTCCAAATCAGGGTGCTGAGGTCATGGAGTCATTTAAAACAAAAGTGAGTTAATAAGCCAAGGTCACTCTGGATCCTTGAAAAACTCAAGCTCAACTCTGTTCACTACTGTGCACCCCATTTTGGTTGAGCTGAATTAAAACTCTCAGTAAATAAAAAAGCTGCAAGGGTCCGTCCACCCTACATGCTATAGTTCTGCCTCCTTTGCTCTGAGAGGAATAGGCATTTACCTATTTTGCCTTTGGCGTAGAGCTAGCAAAGTTCTGAAGATAGTCTTTAGAGAATTAAGGGTTCACTGTTCTTTCGTTTATTTTTTGAACTCCTTTTAGCAAAGAGCAGCTTTAAGTACCTAAAGGTAGCACTTGTAGGTTGAGAAGTTCTTTGCTTACTTGTGATCCTGGACACGGTGCTGGGTGTTCTCTGGTGCATATTCACACCGAGAACTCTTGTGTGTGTGATAGAGCCCACCCTAGATGCTAGGAGGGACCGGCTGGCCGTCGGAAGGTGGGGATGTGCTGGGCTTGGAGAAGGATACCAAAAAGGAAATACGGACTGTACATGTATCTGTCAGTCTTTCCAACTCAAAAACCCATGTTCTTTTGGGGTGTTACTCGAGTCTCATAACAGCTCTTTTTTTTAATGAGAACCACAATATATTGTTTATTTTTATTTTTATTTGTATAATTAAGCAAAATTACTTAGAATTTAGATCTGACTGACCATGGTGAAAACTGCCAACAGTAACAATTTTAAAAACCCAGCAAATAGCTGAGTTATCCAAATGAACTTATTTACAAAACAGAAACAGACTCATAGACAAAGAAAACAAACTCATGGTTACCAGAGGGGAAGGGGGGTGGGAGGGGATAAAATGGAAGTTCCAGATTTGCAGATCACAACAGCTCTTTAAGGTAGGTTTTATAGTTACCATAATATTGCAAATCAGGAAATGGAAGCACAGAGAGTTACTTTTAAAGACACTTTGTAGAGAGACTTTTTTTCATGCTCTGGCGTGTAGTGCGCCCTGCCTCCACAGAATGTCCTGTCATCCTTTCTCCACGGGGTGATTTTCACTTGGCACTTTCACTCAGAGCCTCAACTCACAGTTGTCCCCACCCTTGACCAGACTAGGGTCTCGGTCTGAGGATGTCCTCTTCAGGACTGTGCTCATAGAAGCGTCAGGTGTTGCTGTCAGCCGCCCAGAGAGGCACGCATTTCCTCGTCCTCCCTCTGGGCTTCCTAAACTAGCCTCACCTCTTGGCTCCCCAGAGAGACCATCCTTGAGGCTTCCCTGACTTTTCTGCACCAAAGGCGGGTGCTCTCTAATGGAGTTTGCCAGTCGCTCTGGCTGTTGTGTGTCTTCCCTGAAGGAAATTCACCCTTGGTGTGTTCTCTTCCCACACCTGTGGTTTCACCTGCTACCCTCTGCCACCTCCAGGAGGGAAGGAAGTTGAGAACAAAACAGCCTTGGGCTTCACAGAGTTAGCCCACACAGATGTTTAAGGAATACCTGCCGTGTGCTGAGCTGGCTAGCCCGCTGGTCCCCCTGGGGAGATTCCAGAGGAGTGGAAAATGCAAACAGCCCCATGTGAATCAAGTGCTTTGTCTGCTGCACTTTGTTCAGAGCTGTTAGTTCAGTGCCACCTTGTGGAGGAACAACACACTGTAAGTCATGACAGCTGAAAGCATAATGCTCTTCTAGAGCAGTGGCTTTTATGTCATGTGCGTGTTTATGTTAATAGATTTTGTGCCTGCAGGTTGCTTTGGGGGTCACTATTTTCCCTTCATTTCCCCCTAACTTTAAACCTCTGTTGAGAGGAGCCTGACGCAGGTGGGCAATAAACTACACTCTGGGAAGTGCTTACCTAGTTCAGGGGCTTTCAAGTGTTTTTGGCCATGACCTACAGTAAGAAAGATACCTTTCCTGTATCCCAGTGATATCTAGATCTGTACAAATATATGAATGTCTAATAGAAAATTTCACAAAACATTATTTGCTTGTATTGCTCTGATATTTTTTTCTGTTATATTTAAGGCTTGCCAACATCTGCTGAACTGAGTTTATAATCCCGTGGGTTGCGCTCTGGAGCTGGAAAACAGCTGCTTTTTATATAGGAACTGAGGCCGAGGGAGGTGGCTCTTGCTCACAGTCTTCTGATCTACAGTATAGTGGGGGACCCTGATCTTAGGATCAGCCTGTGCCCTGTCTGCTGAGATCTCTGCGCTCCTGACTTGCCCAGATAAACACCCCAGCTCCTCCTCATTCCAGATGCGGCTGATGGAGGAAGAGTTACGGGACTACCAGAGAGCTCAGGAAGAGGCGCTCACCAAAAGGCAGCTTCTGGAGCAGACGCTCAAGGACCTGGAGTATGAGCTGGAGGCCAAGAGTCACCTCAAGGATGACCGAGGCAGACTCGTCAAGCAGATGGAGGTCTGTGGGCTGCAAGGGCGTGAGCCAGGGTCCGGAAGAGCGAGGAGGGGGCCCGAGGGAAGCAGCCCTTATGCACCCATCTCAGCGTTTGGGAAGCCTTTGGTTTTTATTCTCTTGGACAGCCAGATGTTAGGAAGGCGATTTCTTGATTTGAGGAAGGAGCTTGTAGCTCATAGACTCGTAAGATTGTCAGAGCTGGAAGGGAACGATGGAAGTAAGTTAGTGTAGTTCCCTCATTGTCTTGAAGAAGAAGCAAAACAGAGCCCCAAAGAGGTTCGGTGGTTTTATGTAAGGGCACATAGACAGCTCTTTATCTGGGCGGTGCTTTCGCCTACAAAGGAGGCAGGACTCAGAACTTAGAGAAGGCTGAGCTGTGCCGTGGACCCAAACCCCCAACTCCTGGGGACACCCAACACTCATCTGCCGCAACACACGCTCCACTCGTTCCCTGATTCTGGTCCATTTTCCCTTACAGATAGCCCAGCTTTGCCAAAGCTAGCAGCACACTGCGGCTCAGTTCGTTTTTGGATACACATAGTCCAGGACAGTATGTCTGAAAGTGCAGTGGAGTCACCAGCTAGGGGTGACAGGTCACAAGATGGAACACAACACGTTAGGAAAATGTGAATCAAGGCATGGAATCCAAATATGAACAGCCTAATGAGAATGATAGGAAAAATCTTAACGAATCAGTCCAACTGAACTTACAAAAAGAGTAATCCTCATGAACAAAACCAACTCCAAACTGGAAGCTCCCTCCCCACTGCAACCCCTGTACACCGCTCTCCCCATCCCAGTGGAGTTTAGAGAGGGAGAGACCTGAAAAATCATCCTCAGACCTATGGGAGAAGGTAACATTGTCCATGTTTTGGTAAAAGTCAGACAGTGCTCAGGGCCAGCAAGAGATAGCTGGAATTTAAAACCAATGGAATTCCTGATTCAATTTTGCAAATAAATAGAAACAACTTTTAAAACCTCCAGGGGACTTAGTAGCAGTTTGTATCTAGGGAGTGGTGTTTCAGCCATTAACGATTTTATTAGATGGGCCCTTTTAGAGACTAGAAGTACCAGATTACAGTTTTATTGTTGTTTTGTAAGACCGCTATGTATTTCGCTCATGTCCTGGCTCTGATCTCATTAGGGGAGGTCATTTCAAGGTAGGCTAAGGTCAACCCAGGTAACTGGGAAGTGATTATTCTAGGACCTGAACAGTCTGGTTAAGAACACGCTACAGGCTCGTCGGGCAGTAGGACCTTTGGTGTAATGCTCCTTGGCCCGGGAATGTGCCTGCTGCGTTCCGTACAGTGCGGATTGTCGGTGAGAGGAGATCCCTGTGAAAGAGATGCTTTTGGCTCAACATTGGCTTGCCAGGTTCTAGAATATTTGACTAAAACGGACATTTCCTCTTGCTAACTCAAAGTCTAGAAGCAGTGGCATGGCTAAGCTTCATATGCCCCTGTGCCATATTTTAGCTGTTTCTCTGTTTAATTACAAAATGAACAACTCTCAAGACCCCACCGCTGTGAGGTGCGCGGGAGGGTGCTTCCTCCCCTAAGAGGCGGCTGGCGGAACTGTCTTGCCATGACTCGTATCTTGCTTGTTCCTTCGCTCTCACTTAACAAATCAGTTCTCAGACTCAAGGGCTCTGATGGGCATGTCTGAAACCCAGAAACTCAGTTGGCTGCGTGTGTGTAAATGCAGCGGTGGTGGGTCCTTGGTGATTCTGAGTGAAACTGGCCTTGAACGAGTCAGGAACCACTGAGCAAACAGAAGGTTTTGTGCAGGACCTGGCTCTCTGTTCTGAGTTGATCTTTGGGACTCTTGGCTCCTGGGAGAGAGCTTTCTGGGTTCTCTGTAGATTTCACTCACAACAGGGAAGGCGTTCACAGACATTTAGTCATTCACACGAGTTCTGTGAGGTTTACTTTTGGTGTGTATGGAGGCTTGTCAGCCAACTTTGACGGTCGCAGAGGCAACATACGATATTTACATACAGATGCTACAGATTCGCGTAAAAACTCACAATGCTGATTAGTTTTTAGTGTGCGTGGCTAGTGGCTCCGACTTAACCCAGACGTATGGCACATGGGCTAGTGATGGGAGAAACACATGTACAAACCTCACAACCCCCCGAGTTCTAGGTGGGGTGGTTTGTGTCTGAAGCCTCCTTGTTTTGTACTCAAGGCTAATTTGGAGTGCTTTTCTCTTCACACTCAGTGAGTTATATCAGGAGCCATCAAGGAAGACAGTCAGTTTAGCACAGTGGGCCAGTACTGTCTTTCTGTCGCTCTGATGTGGATTTGGGACTGTGTGGTGCTCAGTATGTGAGGGTCCCTAGAAGAAAGAGGCAGGTGCAAATGGTTGTTACGGACTGTGTTCCTGAGGGGCTCTTGAAACCCTTGGCAGCAAAGAGGAAGAACATTATCCTGAGCTTAGAGTAGAGAAGTGTGCCTTGCGTGATACCAGTTTCCTCATTGTCTTTTAACAGGTGACTTAGATACCTGTTAGGCTTACGTAGATCTTTTAAAAATTGTTGATTCAGAAGGAGAAAAAAAAAGACTTGAAGGAAACATGCTAAAATATACTCAGTGCTTATGTTAGGGTTTGGGGTAACATTTTTTTCTCCTTTTAGGTATTTTCTAGTTGTGTAATTCTGTTTTACATTATAAAAGCAATAAAGCACAGTTTTAAAAAAAAGGTGTTGTTTGGACAGTATGAGAAAAAGATGCATCCTTTTCCCAGACTCTAATCCATGGTCCTCAGCTCTGGTCTGCCCTTGGGGGTGTCCTTCCACAGGGCAGTCCTTGCTCCTAAAAGCTTGGCCAGTGCGATTAAGTAGCCTGTGTTTGCAACTTCTTTCTTAGGACAAGGTGTCTCAGCTGGAGATGGAGCTGGAAGAAGAAAGAAACAACTCTGATTTGCTGTCCGAGAGGATCACGCGGAGTAGGGAACAGGTACTGTGCTGTAGCTGAATAAGTGGATTGTCTTGTTTGAAACGGACGTTCTTACGGGCAGGTTGGTCTGGAGCTGTCTTTGAAGGAAGGGTGAGATTCAGGCAAACGCAGGAACAGGAATGGAATCCTAGATAGAGTGGACGGTGTGAACAGGGATCGAGAAGTAGGATCTGTTTAGCTTTTTGAAGAGCAGTGAGTGGACCACTGGGCTTGGCTGGGTTTCCGGTTCCCATAAGGGAGTCATAGGAGGGGCAGGTTGAGGGTTTTGAATGGACTCTATTCTGAAGGCAGTGGGGAGCCGTGGAGGGTTGTTGATCAGAACAGTGAAGCATACACGGTGTTCTAGAAGGGAGTGGGAGTGAGGGGAGGAGAAGGGAGGCCTGAATGAAGTCTCAGCCAGGCGTTCCCAGGGGCAGAGGACAGGAGAGGCAGCTGTGAGATCAAACATTCTGTCCTTTCCGTGTTCTTGTTTCCCCTTTCTCGTACACACATCTGATGCTCAATAAATGCTGGCAACATTATTTGTAAGTTCCCAGCCCTTTGAAGGCTTTCCTTTTCCATACGTGCTTAGGATCTTCTTAAAGTTGAAGGAAAGTTGAATAAAATAGTGGATGCTTTACTGGCTTTTGGTCTGTTTAAATCCAGAGAAATCCTTTTTCCTCTCCTTCCTCCAAAACCGTGTTTCCATTTATGACAGTTGCTGTCCTTCCGGAGGAGCCCCCAGGTGCTGGGTGCTGTGCCCGTGACTTGCATACTGTCTCATGTTGTTTTCAGGGCTTATGCGGCTAAGTGGCTGCCTCGGGTCACAAGGCTTAGAAGAGATGTGGAGCCACAAGCCACTGCCTCCCACCTGTTTCCATCATCCCCGCATCAGACTGTGAGGGTGGTTATGACCCCCCCCCAAGTGTTTGAGTCTCTATTCCCAAGTTAAAAATAATGCCACGGTGTCTCTTCACACGAGTGAGGATTTATGTTCACCTGATGCTCTCCTGACTCTCCTTATGCGTGCAGGAGTCAGATGGCCCAGCTTGGTGTTTTAAGTGTGTCCTGTAGGCTGATGTTCTAGCCCCTTGGGCACCACTGTGTGATTGCTGGTGGCTGAGGGCTATAGTGTGCGGTAGAGCTGGGTCTGGATGGGGCAGTGTTCTCTTGGCCGTGGAGGCCAGATAGCCCAGCCCAGTGGAAGGACCATTTGTGCAACCTAGGCGGCTGGCAGGCAAGAGGAAAAGTACCAGCTTGAGAGCTTTGGGTGGCATTGCAGTCTTCCCAGGGGCTGAATGAAGCTGCCCGTTGCCTTGGCAACTGCAGGATAGATCCCAGTGGAGAAAGTTGTGGGCTTCTACAGTCACTTTTGGGAACTGCTCCCAAGTGGCTGGCTCGCACCTGCTCCTCAGTCTGCACCAGGGGGATATGGGGCTGGGAAATAAGTCTCCTTTGCAGTCAGTGAGTGAAAGATCAGAATGGGATTTCTTTCTTCTTCTTTTTTTTTCTTTAATTAAAATGATCCTGGTCTCAGAACTGCCTTCTATCGTGAAGGCTGCTCAAAAACCCGATGTGTACAGTCAGTTAATAATCATTTTCCTTTCTTGTGATTATCATTTTTAGTACTAGCCAGCAGTGTGGGCTCACCAACCCCTTTACAGCCCAATGGTAAACACAGGTGATTGGGTTAAATATTGTTATTAGCAATCATAAATATCTTTGGCTTTTCATTAACCCAGAAGGCAGCTGCTTCTAATCCCGAGAGCTGGCTCGGGTCACGGGTGCCTCTGACATAAACCCACTGGAATCTGATACTGTTATTTCCGATCACCATGCTCAGGGTTTAGCATTCTTTCAATCCAGCTGTGATAAACTGTCGCCTTCGGCTCCTGTTCTGTTTTTAATTTGATTGGAAAGTTTTTGTTCGGTCTGTTTAATATAGTTGAAGGGTAAACAGCTCATAAAGTGCTAAGCTTATGTAAAGAAGTGTTTTTCCAGCTTCAGATACACTTCCCTGGTCCAAAGGAGGAAGCTAGCTAAGCCAGACTTAGACTGTTCCCTCTCTCTCCCTCCTTCCCTCCCTCCCCCCTCCTCCTGTTTTGCTAGTGTGGGCTCAGGGTAAGAGGGGCCTGATATGGAATATTCCTGAGTCACTGAGTCAGTCCTGGCGATGACTGTACCGAGGAGCTTGGCTGAATCACTTGTGGTTTACGGTGAAAGCGGTTGTTGAGAGCATTGTCCACAGCACCACCGTGTGATATTCCTTGTGTGAGACACCGTGTGGTAGATTTCTTTTAGAATTTGGTGTCAGGCTGTCCTTCTCAAAGAACTGAAGGAAGTCTATCATGTTTGCCAAAAGCCTTGGTTTCCAGAAGACTCAAGAAATACTGACTGCACGGTGATGGTAACTGTTAAGTTTTATGACCGCACATTTGTTCCTTCCTGTTCTTCACTCTGATTTATTTTACACTTCCATTTCAATAGCCGTCTTTTGAGAGGATGTGGTGGGGTGTAAATAATGACTGTTCTGTTCTGCTTGTCCTTCGGAGAGTCACGTCTGCCTGGGGTGCTCCAGGGAGGTCTTGAACCTGTGGAGACCTCGGGGATGCTCTTTTCTGAGTGCCCCTCCGCGTGGGAGGTCTGTTTCCTTTCGGGATCCAGAATTTCCAGTCCATGGCACTGAGGGAGCAAGCCTGGCCAGTGGCTGCTACGTTAAGTCACAGGGCTTGTCCTGAACCCCCGCCAGGGCCCCTGGACAATTCTTAGATCCCTGCACAGCGCTCCTGCGCCTCGCAGCACTGTAGGTGTGGCTTCCTTTTCGGCCCTGAAGTCCCCCGGAGCTCTTCCTCCTTCTAGGGTTTGTCTTTCTTTGAGGGGCCTACAGGTCTCCAGCCCAAAGCTGCTGCTCTCCTGAGCTTCCCGCCTGGAAAATGGGGTTGGTAACTTCTGCCTCAGAGAGCTCCGGGAGGGAGAATGGGCTCGGACACTCATGGTCACTTTGCTCCTTTTGCCAGGGACTCTTGATCTGTTTCCCTGCTCCTCCCTCAGGCCCGGAGCGGCGCGCACTGCCCCACGGCAGGTGCTCTGAGCCGCGGAGCCTCTGGCCTCGGCCCTGCCGGCCTTGTATTGTCTTCTGGTGGGCTTTGGCCTCACACCCACAGCTACTGAATTTCTCTCTCTGTGAGAGAGGAGGGGAAAATCAGCTCCCTTCCCCTCTTTCTTTCTCCTGTCCCTTTGCCCTGCCTGACCCTGACCCCTCACTCAGGTCTCAGTTGAGTGTCCCTTTCTCTGGAGACTCTCCCTGGCCCTCCAGGTCCAGGCTGTGACCACTGCCATGCTCCCTGCCCCAGCACGCCATCCTTCCCCATTGCGGTGACACTGACCGCATGTACGGGGCGTGTTCGCATGTCCCCTGGGAGCCTGTAATGAGGTCAGGAACTGTGTTGGTGTTTCTGTCACGATGTCCAGTCTTGGAGCTCATAATATAGTCTGAACAAATGAAAGAGTCCACCCCGTCCTTCCAAGACCACTCCTCCACCAACACACGTGTGTGTGTGTTCACAAACACATGCTCCCTCTCACCTTGACCGAGTGGGTCTTTTGCAGCAACATTCCTAAGAGTCTGGAGAGAGAGGGTGGCTACTGTAGCTAAAGGATGGAGGCCGGGGCCCGTGGCTGCCTTGGATGGAGACCCCACAGCCCCACAGTAGGGGGAACGCCCAAGTGCATGTTCACTGTAGGCCAGGGCCCAGGCTGCCTTGGTCAACTTCCTTACTTAGGAAGAAGGGGTCCACATCCCAGAGGTGGGACGACCGAGGTCATGTGCAAGTGGATGCAGAGCCAGGAAGAGAGGCTGGGCCGCTGTTGCCTGTCTGTGATTGCTTCCTGATGCAGTGACAGTTTAACTGTGTCCTCAGTGAAGCCTGGCCTCTGCCCAGCAGGCGTGAACAGAACAATTTCCCTCATGAGGCACATCGGGGTCCTGTGGCCCAGCCCTGCTGACGACCTCCATGGGGTGAGGGTTGGCTGGTTCAGAGCCATGCTCGAGTGAGGCTGTGAGGCTGCATTCATTATCTGTGGACTTTGTGCTTATAGAGCAGTTACAGGAATCGTTCCGGGCCCTCTTTGCAGCATGTGATTCTCGAGGGCCCTGGGGCCAGGCAGGAGGAGTGGGGCGCGGGGGCAGTTTTATGCGCTCTGCCTGCTGACCCTGTGCACAGCTGACATTTTTGTCTTTGCTGTGCCAGAGATGCCCTAAGGAGACTGACTGCCTCCCTGGGTCTTGGTTTTCTCGTGACAGCTATATCTAAACCCTAACATCTGCTTGAGGCCTTCTCACTGAGTTGGTCCAGAGAGCCAGAGCGGATCAGGTAGAGGGCTGTGCGTAGGCGCGGCTGGGTTCTGGTCCTGCTTCCTCCAGTTACGTGGAGAACTGCCCTGGACTTCGGTGTCCTCTGCTGGCAAATTCGCAACCCCAGTGACTCAAGAGGCCTGCTGATCGGAAATGCAAACTTGAACTTGTTTTTTTTTTCGGATCACACAGATTCACCCTCACCTGTGGGGAGGGTCCCAGCTTCCTCCTATGGTACCAAGGCCTCGGTGTCCCAGCCCTGCCCGTCACCAGCCTCATGCCTTACCACCAGCCACACCACTCTGCTTGTGCACACCCTGCGGTCAGGACAGTGGGAGATGCAAGTCTAACCCAGTGTGGTGGGGTCTCCTCAGTTGTTATTCCCAGGACCCCCAGGTCTTGCCCTCCAGGCGGATGGCAGGGAAGGGATGAGCCTGTCTTTTACTAACTAGGGTGCTTGTATGGGAGGTGAAGACCCAGGCTGAGGCTGGGCAGGGCGAGACTGCCACGGAAGCTGCCCGGGCGTGTGGGGACTCCTGCGTGCACATCTCTCAGGCAGGCTGGACCCCAGCCTGAAGAAGGAACGGGCCATTTTATTTTCCTGGCTCATCTTCTAGGTTCTCTGGGCTTCCCCAGGCTGTCCTCTGCTGGAGGGCCCTGGGAACGAGGTCTGGGGCCTCCACCTCGGAAGCGCTTTTCCCTGCTGCTGAAGGCCCCCTGGGGATGGGGTGTGGAGATGCTGGTAGACAGGCAGCTGGATTTTTTTCCAGATGCCGCTCAGCTGGGCTCATTTCCTATTAATATAGAAGAAATCCTCAGTAACGCTTAGCCCTTGCCAGGACACCTGGAGCGTTCTTGCTGACTTCTGTTTCTGGCCTAAGAAGGGAGGAATCTAGCAACGTCTGAGATATGCTGACCATGGGAGCCCTTTCTGAGGCTTGAGCTTGTAATGCAGTCGTCACGAGCTCAGGGGAACGCTGACGCCCCCTGTTCCTAGTTGTGTAGATCTTGGGCAAGCTGGGTGACTGACTCGGCCCAGTTTGCCTGGGGCTCCCCCGTTTTGAGTGCAGGAAGTCCTGTGTCCTGAGCCCATCCTCGGTGTTTGGTAAGCTGGGGTGGTCGGTCAGCATACGAGTCAGTTAACTTCTCCGGGCCCTGATGTCCTCAACAGAGATGATAGGACCTCTGTGGTGGTGGTGGTGGGGCTGTCATAGCTAGTGTGTGTGGAGTGCTGAGCAGGTTACCAGTTCTCTAGAGTTGCCGTAAACGGGGTGGCCTTGAACAACAGGACTGTACCATCTCAAGTTCTGGAGGCTAAAAGTCCGAAATCACAGTATCATCAGGGCCGTGCTCCCTCCCGACCTGCAGGAGACTCCTTCCCTGCTTCTTCCTAGCTTCTGGTAGTTTGCTGGCAGTCTTTGGTGTTCCTTGACTTGTGGGTGCCTCACTCCAATTCTCCATCATTGCAGCACGTTCTCCCCGTGTCTCTCTGTCTTGGCTCTCTGCATGTCTGTCTCTTCAGCCAAACTTCCCCTTTTCACAAGGACGCCGGTCATATTGGATCAGAGCCCACCCTAATGACCTCAGTTTAACTGGGTTGCCTCTGTAAAGATCCTGTTTCCAAACAAGGTTACATCCGAGGTCCTAGGGGTTAGGTCTTCAGTGTACCTTCTTGGTGGGGACACAGTTCAGCCCATAACAGCAGGGTTAGCTGTGGCTCTTATTGTTGCTTGTATCCATCACCTTTGCAATTATTGAGATGTCAAGAATATCCAAGAAGCAGCTCCTGTATTCAGGAGTAGAAGGCAGGAGGCCCCTATCATGAAGAGGAGCACTAACTTGATGGCTGGAATTCAGTACCTGGGCACCGTTTTAGTACAAAGGCTGTAGGAACAACTTCTCTAACCTCTGGGCTTTTCCACTTGGGTGTAGATGGAGCAGGTGCGGAATGAGCTGCTTCAGGAGAGAGCTGTGAGGCAAGACCTGGAGTGTGACAAGATTTCCCTGGAGAGGCAGGTGAGGGCCCCTGGCCCCATGAGTCTCTCTTCTCTTCCCTCCTCATGACTTTGGACTGGACCCCCTTGGTCGAGCCTTCTTTGCACAGCACCCCAAGAACTCTGGGGCATGACTCACCCGAGAGGTAGAGGTGTCTCTAAGGCCTTTTCCAAAGAGGTTATTCTCAATTATATTAAATGTGCTTGGAAGTTAAGCAGCTGGGGAGAGGTGGGACTGCAAATGAGTGTTGTCTTCTAGATCCTAAAGAGGGCTAAATTTGAATGAAAAGAGAATAATAAAGAACCAATGTCCTCAAATGCAGGAGCTGCTAACAAAGCTTACTTGAATCATTATTTCTTTTACATGCTATTCATGTCAGTTCTTCACGGGACTTGACATGTGATACTGCTGAAGGAGTCTGTTTCTCCTGTCCTGCCCCCAAGAGGTATATAAGAGGCCAAGGTCGAGCTCACTGACATCCAGGACTTTTAGGACATGCCAAAGACTTCACTCAGGCTCAGAAGGGAATGAGATAGAATCTCTTCATTTAGCTGGTGGGGACTGGAGTGCAAAGCTTTTCCTTGGAAACTTCCCCAGGGCCCCCGGGGCCACACATCCTAATGTGGAAAGCAGGCTTATCACAGCCACTGACCACACGTCCCGCCCTGTGCTGTGCTCTGCACAGAGAGTGTGGTGGACACGGCCCCTCAGTCTCCCTGTCTGATTCCAGAACAAGGACTTAAAGAGCCGGATTATCCACCTGGAAGGTTCCTACAGGTCCAGCAAAGAAGGGCTAGTGGTGCAGATGGAGGCCAGGATTGCTGAGCTGGAGGACCGTCTGGAGAGCGAGGAGCGGTGAGCCAGTCCCAGCCATGGTGTAGAGGCTCTGGGTTTTGTTTTTTTTTTTTTTTGCCAATCTTAAATACAGTTTTAAGACATTGCATTTTCCACTCACAATACAGTGCTTATAAAGTACAATTACATTAAGAAGTCCTTCCACTCTTTTCACTCTTGTAAACCTGTGAAGAAAGCAGAGCAAGTCCAGTCCTGCTGGAAAATTATTTCCATTTTGCAGATGGGAAAACTGAGACCCGCTGAAGTGAGTGACTTGAAGGAAGGTAGCCTGGCAGAATATTGCTGTAGCAGGACTAAAACTCTGGACCCCCACTGCTCAGTCCTTAGCTTTCCACTAGACTGGCTGCTCCTTTCCCCATGCCCTAAATTGTACAGGCTGCCTTGTAGGCTACTGAGTTTGAGCTGGAATAGAGGTGAGGGGCTGACTCTGCTCTGAGGGCCGGGTGTATTCAAGCAGAGGCCGAGTGGCTGTCAGAGGTGGGTGTATTCCCCCCCCACAGTGGGGGGAGGGGTGTAGGATCAGATGACCACACCCCTTTCCTGCACCAGGGTTCTCTGCAGCTAGCTCGCAGACTTGCAGTCGGAGGGCCAGCACCAGGTTGAACTTGACAAGTCTCAGTTTTTACTCATGGTCCCTCACTTTCCTCGAAGCAGTGTGGGAATGTGTATGTACTTATAGCACTTGACATTATCCATTTTCAGTAGGACATTGGGACTGGGCCAGAGCTGCTTGGAGCAAACCCTGAACACTCATAGCCTGGCAGTCCATGACCCTCTGCCTTACCAAGGAAAGCCTGGGGCTGGGAGAACTCGGGGCAGGTCTGGCCCCGGCTCAGCCCCTCTCTAACTCTGCAGCCTCGGGCAAAGCCACTCCCCTCTCAGAGCCCCTGTTTCCTCGTCTGTCCAGTGCACAGCGCTTCCCTCCTGTACAGTTGTGTCTCTGACCCTAAGCCTCAGTCAACCAGGCAGCCCTGGGCTGGGCCTCCTTAGGGCTGCGATGAAATGGTCCTCTGCTTCCCCAGGGACCGAGCCAGCCTCCAGCTCAGCAACCGCCGGCTGGAGCGGAAGGTGAAGGAGCTGGTGATGCAGGTGGATGACGAGCACCTGTCGCTGACCGATCAGAAGGACCAGGTGCGGAGCTCTCTGCGGATCCCGTCTCAGGCTGGGGAGGCCTTGGTGGGCAGGCAGGTGTTGGACCGGGTACTTCCTTTCCACTCTGTCCCTTACCTTATGGACCTAGGCCTTTCTAGCCCACTTCAGTAGGGGGTTCAACAAATTTCATACCCTGATCTTTGTTTTTAAAAAGTAGACTTGTCTGCCTTGGAGTCTTATCTCTACTTTCCTGTGAGGCTGGTGGCCCCCTTTGCCATATCTCTGTTGCCTGGAGAGAAGGGGCTGGACCCCTGGCCTCTCTGCTGGGCGGGGCCACCAGCCCGCTCACAGCCTGCCCTCCCCTCTCTCCCTGCAGCTGAGCTTGCGCTTGAAAGCAATGAAGCGACAGGTGGAGGAGGCCGAGGAGGAAATCGACAGACTGGAAAGTTCCAAAAAGAAGCTGCAGAGGGAGCTGGAGGAGCAGATGGACGTGAATGAGCAGCTGCAGGGGCAGCTGAATTCCATGAAGAAGGACTTAAGGTGGGCGAGTGCAGTAACCTCACCTCCCGACACTGGAGGAGAGCGCAGCACGATGCTTTCACAGCATTCTCACTGCTGCAGCCTCAAGCCGATCCCTTGTCATCACCTTTTGGGGTCATCCCGTCCTGGAGATGAGAGTGGCTGTGTCCACTCTAGTTGCCCCACGTGCTCAGTAAGGTGTGATCTGTGTCATGACCTGTGTCACCCTCATCCCAGTGTCCCAGTGTCAGTCAGGCAGGTATTATCCCTGTTGTCCAAAGAGGGAAACTCAGGCTTAGAGCAAGGTAAGACTAGCTCATACCCCCATGGAGGGGGCTGCTCCGGGACTAGAACTTGGGGGTCCTGCATGGATGTGACTTAGGGAGAAATGAGATAGAGTTCTGGTTCGTGTCCTCAGGAGAAGGAGCATATCCCTCGCATGGTTTCCAGAGGGAGCTGCTCTCTCAGCTCCCCGGCCTGGGTCCTGAGGATGCCGGCTTAGGTAGGGGGTGGTTTTCCCTGCCTCAAGGTCACTGCCAGGGGCTTTGGAGTGAGGGCAGGAGATTAGGTTCATGCTAATTCACGGAGCTGGGCCAGTCTTGGAGGCCAGCGGTGACCTGGGGCTTTCTGCTGGCTGCCCAGGGAGTTGGCTCACAAATGCAGAAGACTGGAGCCTCTTGAGCATCCTGTAAAGAGGGCCTGTCTGTGGAGAACCAGCCCCAGGCTGGCATTAGGGGCAACATATAAAGGGCCACCAAAAATCTCAATAATCAAGTTGCAGTATTTTGAAAAACAAAAATGAATGCAGCGCTCTGCCGCACTGGAGCTTGAGGGAGAAGCACGAGTGAGTGCAGTGGGTCTCGGCCCCGCCCTGCCCAGCCCAGCGCCACCCAGCCCGCCTGTCAGCAGCAGCCTCTCGCCTCCCGCGCTGCTCCCTGGGCTGTAGGAACTGCCAGGTGCAGAATGGTTAAGTTCATGTGCTTGTATGTGATGCAGTAGCCCAGGACACCTTGGGCTCCAGATCAGAGGCGAGCCCCAGTCCAGGGCCAGGAAACATGCCCCCTGTTGCTTTGCAGACTTAAGAAGCTGCCAAGCAAAGTGCTGGATGACATGGATGATGACGACAACCTCAGCACGGATGGGGGAAGCCTCTATGAGGCACCACTGACCTTCGCCTTCCCCAAGGACAGCACCATCGTCAGCCAGATCTGAGCCCACTTCCAGGGACCCGCCACCACAGGAGGAGGCAGGAAAGGGAGTACCCATGCCCTATCGCCGCCTCTTCACAAACCAGGCGACTCCTTCCCATGACTTTACGTTCCTCCTAGGATCTGGGTCGGGGTGCAGCCGGGGTAGCTGACCCAGCAGCTGCTGCAGTGCGGTACCGAGACACCTGTGGCCCAGAGCCGCCCCCGCCCACCTGGCGGGGTGGAGCCCCCTTCTGCCAGCTGTCTGCCAGCACTCCTGCAGTGCCCCCTGGACCCCCGCCCTCCCTTGTCAAGGGCAAGGGCCCACGTGCTAGCCCCTGTTTAATAGTTGTCATGCAGGGGAGCGGGGTGGCGATGTATACACTGTACATATTTTAAATCAGACCTTCTCCTGGGCGCCTGCTTTTCCAGTTTAGAATGTTACAGAGGCTTCGTCGGGTGGCTCGTTTGTAAAGTTCACACATCTCTACTGAGTGTTAATTTAAAAAAAAAATAGCAGGAATCTACCAGATTGTTAAGTATTAAGGAGCCGAGGCAGGACGAGGTAGAATAAAGACCACTTTGGACATCAGAGTTGGAAAAAAGGAATTGTCGTGGTGATAAGGGGCAGGTAATCCTGAGAAGAGAAATTCAAGCTGTCTTGGTAAATGCCTTGTTGACGGAGGGAAGGAAAGTCAGAGGACACTTGTATCTGTGGCCCTTGGTTGCTATTTTATTTAGAATTTTGTTGTAATTTCTGAATCATGCCGAGATCAATTCCAGTCACCCAGTGCAATTTCTTCTATGCTGGTGGGGTAGGGAGACGTGTAAGTAAAGTTTTTGACAAATGATGTGGTTCCTTGGGAGGATGGAGCCTTCCGGTCGTGTCTTATTAGTGCTTTCCTCCCACCTCCTGGAGCGGCAGGCTGCGCTCTCTTGGCCCCTGGACGGGGTGCTCACTGGGTGGGGACTTGTCGGGGGAGGTTGGGGACAAGGCTCACATACTTGGGCTTGAGGAAGAGGTGAGTGATGTGCAGTGAGGTCGTGGGGATGGGGAGAAGGGGTGATGAGCAGCTGTGTGTGGCGTGGGTAGGAAGGAGGCGGAAGGAGAAGAAGTTCTTGAAAGCTGGAGGGATGTGTGGCAAGAGGCAGATTGAGCAGGATCTCAGGTTTATGTGAGGAAAAGGAGGAAAAGAAACCAAAGTCAGACAGAGACATATCTGTGCAAACTGGAAGAATCCTTCCAACTTCCTAGGTCAGAGGGACAGCGGCCAGCACCAGGCAGAAGGAAGCTGGGACTGGGTGAGGTCTAGGCAAGGCCATGTTGCCGAAATGGAGTTCCATGGAGTCATTGGGACGATGAGGGGTGGCCTGGCACTTCCTGGTGTCACCTCCTCTGTGGCAGTCCCCAGAGGCCAGGCCCAGTCACAGCTGGCCAGGGCGTGGGGCAGGCAGCTCAGTGGGGCCATGGCCAGGAGAGAACCCTGTGAGTCGTGTGCATGGGCGGGGGTGGAGGTAAGTGTTCTGTGTCCCCACGCAGCCTGGTAGATGAGTGGCCCATGACTCAAGAGCTCCATGACTGACGGTTGCCACAGGGAGCACATGCCTCCCCCAGGCCACAGAGCCCACCCAGCAGGATTCAGGGTGATCAGCCCCATTTAAGGGTGAGGCCCCCAGAGCAGAAGAGCCAAGTCCTCCTCCGCCTTTGCTGGGTGGCATGCTGCTTGCCTTTGCTTACTTTCTTGGAGTGAGGAGAGATCCCTCCCTTTAGCCATGCATTCATTGAGCAGGTATTTCCTGAGGACTCACGACATCCCGGTCCTTGGCACTGGGAACACAGCAGTGAATATAATGGCTCAAAATCCCTCCCTTCCTGGAGCGCCATCAGGGGTAAGAGGGTGACTGACAACAGTCACACACACGGACATAGAGGCTGAGCCCCTCTGTCTTCTTGGGGACGCAGCTAGCCTGAGGTTGGCTGACTGGCTCTGGGGTTCTTCGACCCTCGTGTGTTCTTGAGTTCCCCACTGCTTCTCCCACCATTAGATATTTGCCAGGAGGCCTGCTAGCAAGGCCTCCACCTGCGTACAACTACAGATTGGAGATGGGGAGGACTAGGGGCCTGAGAACTTGGGGAGCAAGTCAGCATCTGTGTTGGTTTGTGAGAAAGTTGCTGCTTCTCGTTCTGGCCAATTGCTTCTGGAGCCACGAGACAGCCTGCAAGAAACCAACTGCCTGTGAAAAGAGAACAGAGCTCACCATTCAGAAGACCTGCATCCTCACCCTGGAAGTGGTCCGTTCCTGTGTTAACAAACGTGCCCTCCTACGCAGCAGTCGGACTGGTGGTGAGCCTGACGTGTGCGGTGGAGCAGGGTGGGAGGAACACTGGACTGGGAGTGGAGAGACACAGTTTCAAGTTCTGGCTCATCTTACCCCAGTGGCCTTGACAGGGTGACCTTGACACGTGAGCTCAGAGTGGCAGATGATGAGGAATGACGGAGGACCAGGACCCACGGTCCTTGCCAGCTTTGACCTGCTATCATTCTTTGATTTTATTATGTACACATTTTTTTTTCTGTTTGTTGCTTAAAGAACTAATCCTACTCGAGAATATTTTCTTTAGCTAGCTTAAAAAGAAAAAAATATTTAATAAACAAGTATATGGCCAAATGCAGTGCTGAGGAGACAATCATCATATAACTTTATAATTGTTTTTCGTGCTTCTGAATGTCATCCAACAATGCCAATAGCCTTATTCTGTTGGGTTTCTGCTCTTGGATATGGTTTGATGGCCTTGGTTTGTCATGGGCAAGAGACATTCTGAGGCAGCTCCCTCCATGTAAGTGAACTCATGGAGAAAGCAAGTTTGCCTTTCAATAAATGGTGTCACCCAACAGGAATCTTGACTCCATTATTTCGACTCCCTTGTTTTCTCCAGAGCTTGTCTGACAAAAAGCAGCCCATGTGAATGGCTGCAAGCTACTTGAGGCAGGGGAACTGGGTGCATTCCAGGCCAGGACAGTGTCTGCAGTGGAAGGGCGGGGAGAGGGTCGGTGATGAGCTCTAAGAGGATTAATACACTTGGATGGTTGTGATGTTCTGAGAAATCCAAACAGCCCATTTCCAGAAAAGGGCCAAAGGGGAAGAGTATGGATCACTGAGGACCAGCAGGTGCCTCCTGTTTCTTCCTTGTTCCTGCACTGAAGTGTTCTCCTGCCATCACAGCTGGCACATAACCTCACTTGATCTACAGCAGGCTGACAGCAGGTCCCATGATCTCCATGTTGTGTGAAACAAAAGTCGCTTCTCCAGGGAAGGGACCTCCACTGCTCATCCTCTGTCCTCAGTTCATTCTCTGCTCTGCCCTCTGGAGGCTGCTCCTGCAGGCCCTGGGTTCCCTCCGTGGCTGGTGGCACCTGGTTGGAGTCTGCTGGCAGGAGCGGGTGGAGGTCAGCATTTCGCTACTGTCACTCCCTGCTTTGTGCGGCATTTCTGGCTGTGGTGCCTGCTGGGGGCTCCCTCCTGACCCACCGGACTTGGGTGACCATACCATCTCCTCGTGCCTCCACTTCTAAAGGTGGTTACGGCTGCCTGCTGCCGTTCCTCCCTGGGGAGTTTCCCCAACACCGCCGCCCTCCAGAGGAGCTCTCCATGAAACCCCGGGGCCACCGCCTTGGCTGCTGCTTCCTGCCCAGTGCTCTGCCCACTGCCGCCTCCCTGCCCCTAGCAATGCCAGCATCCCGCCCAGCCGGCTGTCCTGCGGCCCCTGACTCCCTTATTCTAACTAACCAGAGCATCTCAAATATAAGTGAGATTTTCTGATTTTAGTCAGTCCTCAAAACCTTTGCATAAATTGTGTGCTTTTGTTTTTTTTTAAGGTTAGGATTATTGGGGTATAATTTTATCATTTGTGAGTAAAAGATACTCCTTTGGTACTAGTTGCTTTCAAAACTACATGTCGCTTTCCCCTCGGCCAGCGTCCTCGTGGTGGGAATAGGAGATTCTGAGGTTTCCTTCCCCTCAGGCCTGCACGAGGAGTGTGGATCAGGAGCTCAGAGCCAAGGGGAACATCCTCCCAGGCTGGCAGCTCCTTCCTCCGCATTCTCCACATTCCTTCTTTGAACCTGGGGATAGTTACAGTGATCCTGTCTTTGTAGGAAGATAATCTTTCGCCAGAAAGTTTCTTGTTCTAAATTTTCAAATGATAGAGAAAAATGACTCGACAGCCAGTTCCTATTAGGAACTTAGCCCCGAATCCAGAAACTTGGAGGGATCAGCAGAACATGGTTCTGCCCTCGGACTTGTGGAACGCACAGTGCTGGAGATCACTGGGGACGTTCACATGCAGGACCTGAGGTCCGTTGTCTCCATCTGAAGAGCAAGATTGGAGCCTGTGCCCTAAGCTGGGTTTGTTAGTGCTGGGAAGTGCGCTGGTGCACTTAACAGATGGGGAACAATGACACCTGTTTGGTGGGGGAATTTGCAAGTTGCCTACTGCGCGGAATCTTCCTTGGTCTCCCAACAGATTGTCGCCTGCTCCTCCGGGATGAGGGGTGTGATTCTAGATGTGCTGTATGTAAACAAAATTAAACAATTTGATGAGAAAGGCAGAAACTTCGGCAGATGAGGAGTCAGGCTTGGAGAAGCTGGGTGTTTTGCTGGACGTAGGTCATGTCTGCAGTCAGCAGGCAGCCTGAGAGCAGAGCCTGCCACCGTGGGCCAGGCGCAGTGGCAGGCACAAGGTTCAAGCCACAGCCTAGCACTTATAGGAGCTTAAAGTGTAATTACAAAAGTGGTGACTATTAAACCTAGTGGGAATTAGATAAAAATATTAAGTCTTTCATTGATCTATGGCAAACCGAATTTGTCTGTTTTCTCTGGGGCTTTGCTAGCTGTCTGTGGACAGGGCCGCCAGTTTCCCCTGGGTTTCCACGTATAATTCAGTAGCTAATGTGTGTTGCACCCTGACCTGCCAGGGATTGGGAATTGTTCTAAACCCTCCCCATGTATTGACTCACTTGATCCTTCTGATACCCCCCAGAGCAGGTGCTGTTGTGACAAGTGAGGTGGCCCAGGCAGAGGGAGTTCGAGCCTTCCCCAGGGCCTGTGGCAGCAGGAGGAAGAGGCAGGATTGGGGTCTGGGTCTGAAGTTCACGGTCTGCGCCAGGAAGCTCTGCTGCCTCCCACCCACGCCCACCGGCCTGGAGGACGAAGGTCTTCCACAGAATCCTGGGTGAGGGCCTCCTGATCCTTCCCCTTTCGGCTCTCCCCTTCATTTGTGAGTTTCTGTGCAACTCAGCAGCCTGCTGCCTGCCTCCACTCTGAGGGCTGCAGTCAAAGGCAGACGGAAATCAAAGCTGACCTCCGAAGCCAGAGACCCGATGGACGGGGCTCGTCGCAGACTTCAGCTGCTCTTCGAACCCAGCTGCCTTTAGGGTGCCATTTGCTACTGTGATCTTTGACTCTCGTTTGACCATCTGTGTTCCCATAGTGCTGTGCTAACCTGACTTATCTGGGCCTGATCTGGGACGATGGTTGTCGAGCCTCCCCCCGTCTGACTGTGTGGAAGGCAGTCTCAGGCAACATCAGCAAATCCCCGGGTTTGGGTGAGTCTCAGGGAGCATTTACCTTCCCAGCCCCAGACTTCTTTGAGATGAGACCCGTCTTCTGGGATGGTATGTAGCAATAATCTTCATCGTGTCGTGCACCTTTCGTATTAGTCTTATGTTCAAAAGTGTGCTTGCAACCTGAAATCAGCAGGTTGTCCTCAATGGAATGTTACCGACTGAGGTCACTAGTGAAACCGCGGACTCTGGAGAAGCTCGTTGAAGAACTCGGGGTAGTTGAGCTGAAGTCTGGAGACCCTGGGCTTGACCAAAGTGGGCTGTCTTCCAGAGGTGGCACGTGGGTTCCAGTAATCTTGGAGCAGTGGTCCCAGGTAGAGGGGCTGGGCTCCAGATCCCTGCGAGTGGGCAAGGGAGGGAGGAAGTCTGCTGGGCAGAGCTGTCTTTGGGACTGAGAGCTATGTGCAGAGGCTCCTCTTGAAGGAAAGGGACCCCTCTGCCCAGCCAGTCCCAGGAGAGGTAGGGCTCCAGCTGTGGAAGCCGACTTCCACCTCCTTAATGTGGTGTGTGAGCCACGTGGGAGTTGTGTGTGCCGTCAGGAGAGGTGGTCGGCCCCTGCCTCCCCATCCACGCATTACACAGTGGGCATCCCTTCCGAACCCTCTCAGGGATGTACAAAGACCAGTCCGTTTTGCCCTGTGTATGGGCCCAGTATTTGGGGGCAGTGGGAATGATTCTTTCTTAACATCTAAAATCCCTCAACAGGGTAGAAGCTGCACTTGGACAAACTCCTGTGGGACTGGAGTCTTCATCTGATTTAACCTGCAGCCTGCAAGGTAGGTGGTGATACCCCCATTCCTGTGTCAGGGAACATGTGCAGAAAGAGAAATCATTTGTCAAAAGTCACCTACCAGTAACTAGTGGGGCTGGGATGTAGTCCTGAGTCTTTTGCTCTTACCAGTCACGGTTTCCCCACACCTTGACTTTTCCCCCTCACTGCCCCCTCAAAACAGTCACCTGCTGACTCCACTAGCTGAGGACAGTTAGGTACAAGGGCTGGGAGGTTTGTCTGCAGTCAGAATGCTGGCCTCTGTAGTGCAAGTTTGCACTTGGAACCTGAAGCCTGCCCTCTCCCCACTGCAAGCCCCCTCTCCCCTGCAACCTCCCTCCAGCCAGCTGCAGGCTGCCAGCCTGGCTAACCTCGTTCCAACCGCCTCTGGCCTGGCGCTTCCAGGACAGGCTTGTTTTCCAGGAAAGGACTCAGAGATTAAGAGGCCAGGTGTCTGCGGTTAAATGCCCTCCTGCCTTTGAAAGGGCCAGACTGGTAAGCCTGCTAGTCCAGCTCTGTGGTTTGCTTGGTCCATCCCTGGGGCAGGCTGCCTCGCCTTTCATCGGATGCCAGGGGTTCCGGGCCTGTCTCTGGGTGTGGATACAGAGCTCTTTGGAGACTGGTGCAGGGCTCCCTGAAGACCTAGGCAAGGACACAGGATCTGAAAAAGACTGGTGACAGGGTCTCAGTGGGGCTCCTGTCTCCTCCACAAGGGGGCAGTCTGTCCTGGTCCACTTGCCATGGGGAGACTTCTCCTGGCATTTAGATAATGAGGAACTAGAAAACAGGAAGCTGCCTGCAGCCTCCTGCAACGAGCTAGGTAATCCACAGCTGTGGTCTTCCCAGCAGTGTGTGTCCCCGATCCACACACAGCTCCCTGAACCAGCTTCATTTTCTAAAGCAAATAACTCACTCCACTACCTCCTTCCCTCATGGCAATTTAAAAAAATTGTGTTTCACTGCTGCTGGATTCTAAAATCAAGGTACAGAATGCTCATGGGCTTACTAAATCATGTGTCCTTCCAGTCCAGACCCCGTGGAAAGGTTAGTTACGTGTGACCAAGATAACAGGTTTGCCCACCCCTGTGATGGGCAGAGGCCAGCAGGCAGGGAGCATCGAGCTCCCCCTGCTGGTCGCTGCCTGGTCGTCACATTGGAGGACTGCCATCTGAGTATGTCCAGAGCTGCTTCCCGGATGTTAAGAGGCCAGATGTGGATGGAGTTAGCCCCTTTGACTTTGCTACCAACATCAGCAACAAAGATATTTAGGGAGCACCAAATATGGGGAAGACAGAAATAGGCAAGGTAATTCAGCATGGTGTTGGGCCTCTGAGAAGTTTCACTCGGAGATCTTTGGTTTGTTTTGTTAAGGAATTTGTGTTCCCACCACCAAGAATTAACAGCAGTTAACATTTGATCATATCTGCTTCGTGTTTTCAAATAAAGCAATAAAATATTACAGATAAGGTTGAAGATTTCCCCTTTGTTCCTCACCCACTGCCTCATT